GGCGTACATAGGCTACAAACCACACTAAGCCATAATGACACTCATCGGCGGATACCGTCAAATATAAATAAATGGAAGGCCCTTGGTGCATGAGTTATTGAGGCAGCCATATTCATGTATCATCATCATAAGTTGTTTTATAGGCCTTCTATAAAAGAGAGGTGCGAGAATTTATAAAAGTGCGACCTCTTGCATGAATAATAGTCGTTCGTTTTTTTACTGGAATATAAAAGATTATTATCGTCATTTTCAAATCTATTTTATCTCGCCACTTCAAAGCTTTAAACCATTGGCTATGTTTACTAGCAATTCAAAATGTTCTACTTTATTTTATTAAATTTGATTTATGTATCTTTCAGACCTTTTTCATTATTTTCATCGACATTGAAAATTTAACAATAAATGATCAATTTAGATCTAATGACGTCACTTCCTTAAAAGTTTTGGCACTAGTTTTAAAGTTTTAGTTTCAAAGAGAAATGCATAGTGGAGAAATGATATGGTATGGAGGGTGAGTGAGTTATAGGATCCGATGTGAGTGAGTTACAGCGTATTCATTTTTATTCCTTTGTATTATTATACTCCTTATGGTAGCTTATCCCGTACCAGGACTGGAACGGGATAAATGTTACTCGAGTCTCTAGCCAATAATACAGTGGCCTTAGAAGAAGGTAAGATAAATGGTGCTATGTAGATTATCTCAAGGAAACTTGTACTTGGAAATTGCCTTAGTATATTTGCACATAGCCATCTTTAAAATAGATAGATATCTCTCAGGAGATAGCTAAAGTTTGTGCAAACTAAGTAAGCCAGGCCAAGGGTGACTCGTCTTGGATCATGGTTAGTATTTGCACATCTAGTTGAAAGCCCATGGTACTGTCAACCCCTAAAGATTTTCTCCCGGGACAGATTTTTTAGACCCAGTGCCCAAAATTCGCGGGATTTTGCGGGACATCTACTAAATTCGCGGGATTTTGCGGGACATTTAAGGTACAGCTGGAAAGTAACATTTTGGTAAAAAATTGCTATACCTGCACATGTTATTTTCTGGTACAAAATAAAGTATGAAGGCATGTGTCAATTTCCTTGCTTTTTTCAGGAAAGTATCATTACATTGTCTTCTTTTAGAATATCTGGTAGGGGTTCAATGGGAACTCCAGGAAATTCTGATATTTCACACTTTCTATTTTTCCAAATTTTCTTTCAAAGTTTCCAGACAACACAGAAGCTTCCATTGACCTGTTTCCAGATATTCTAAAAGTAAACAGTGTAATGATACTTTCCTGAAAAAAGCAAGCAAATACACACATGACTTCATACTTAATTTTGTACCAGAAAATAACATGTGCAGGTATAGCAATTTTTTACCAAAATGTTACTTTCCAGCTGAACCTTAAGGGATTTGCGTGATTGCGCTAATAGGAGAGGGGGCAAACACCCTAATTGCGGGACAGTTAACAGGTGTACCACCAAAAACTTCATAGTAAAAAAAATACTTAAATCAAACTTTCAGATACTGATTAATCAAATATAATGCACCGTTACATTGTAACTTAAATAAACGTCAACACAATTTCACAAAATACGCATAGGAATATTATTAAACTTTATTGTAATTTATCAAAAACAAAAACCATGCTTCAGGTGTGATTACCGTAATCTAAAATTCGGAACAATACTTTGCACTTCTGGTGTCGTGACCAACTATGAAACGCTTACCCCCATAATGTTATATATTAAAATGTACCTATTCATATACTGTAGGCATGGGCTTTCAATTGAAAGCCCATGATATAGGGGTTCGATTAATCTACATCAAATTATAGGGAATGAGGTTAATTTTCTAGATAGGGTTTGTATAAAAAACCAGGTACCGGGTAGTAAATCCTCCATGCTGGGTTCAAACTTGGTACCCGGTCGAAAAAAAACCAAAAAACGAAATATACGAATACACAACATAATTAGATCATTAGAAAACGTGTAAGATTTGTTTTGAATTTACAAAAATGTATGTAACTTCCTTCAAAATTGAGCTAGAAGCTTCAAATAAAAAGCATTTTAAGGCTCTTTTCTTCCTCTATCATCTTGGTCATATTTCCATTGGAAATGAAGGGGGGGGGGTGCGATCGCACCCCCTCCTGGCTACGCCAATGACATTGTAAGACGATTTGAAAAACAAGACAAATCAATCTTACTCTATTTTCAATAGTTCGTATGTTGGTACGTGAATTGTTTTGATTATGATTTAAATCTGTAAATAGCTATCGTTGCTTTAGCAGAGAGGTGACGTGTGTTAATTTACATGATGCAACGTGTAAGATTTTGATTATTAATCATAATTTAAGTTATCCCAATTTATGACAAAATGTCCACTGAATTGTAAATATTTATGTCTTACAATGTCATAGGCGTAGCCAGGAGAGGGTGCGATGGTGCGATCGCACCCCCCCCCCCATAACCAATGAAAATATGGCCATAACGATAGAGGAAGAAAAGTGCCTTAAAATATGCTTTTTATTTGAAGCTTCTAGCTCAATTTTGAATCATGTTACATACATTTTTGCAAATTCAAAACAAATCTTACACGTTTTCTCATAATCTATTCGTATTTTCGTTTTTTGGGTACCCATTTTTTTTGACCGGGTACCGGGTACCAAGTTTGAACCCAGCATGGAGGATTTACTACCCGGTACCCGGTTTTTTATACAAACCCTTTCTAGATATCAGCGTACATTTATTGTAACTCACGTTTGCTAACATTTGCTCAGTTCTGAGATGAAGGCCACACGGGTAGTAAAAAGGCCAACGTTGGAACTATTTGTGACCTACATCCCTATTTTCGTAATTAAAATGAAAGTTGAACCCTTCCCCTTTATTTTGATACCAAACAACAGCATGGTAGGTACTTAAAATTAGGTAAACTTTACTCCTCAAAAGTGCAAAAACTTAGCTTCTTATATAAGATAAGGTAATCAAAATATAGGGGATTGCAACAATTTCGGAAATTCGCGGAGGTCAAAGCCACATTTGCGGGACTTCGCGGGACAATGCGGGACACGCGAATTAGCCTAATTTTGATCAAATTCGCGGGATAATCCCGCCATTCGCGGGACACTTGACAGCTCTGCCATCTTCTCAGCAGATAGCTTTGTGCAAACTAAGTAAGATCAGTGGATGGGAAGAAATGGTGAAACTACCCTGGATACCATAGGTGGAGGAAAAGTTTCATTGAGCTCAATCCCGGGGTTTCACTGGCTATGAAAGTACCCTTTTTAAGTCAAAATTCAGTCTTTTTACAAAAATTGTATTAAATACGTTAAATTAGTTGTTAAGGCTTGGTACAAATCACTAGAAAAGCTGATTTTTTAGTCTTTTATAAGTCTCAGAGGAATTAAACATGGAAACCTTCAATCTTGAGAGGAAATTGACATGGAAAATTTTCAAAAATGTGGTCTTTGGGGCGGCACATAGGTATTAAGGAGTATATTGGAGTGAAACCCCCGGAGCTCAATATAGTGACTTTCATATTGAGCTAATAAGTACTTTTCCTTTGGCCTATGCTGCAGGCCTGTCAATTGTCCCACAATTCAAATCCAGAAATTACCAGTCACTTTCTTTATCAAGAGAGCTGTCAACACATCTGATAACAAGTGTTCTAAGCAGCTCTAGTGAAACTTGATGCTATGTTTTGGTCTAATACAAGATGCAGCAATTGGCGAAATTAAGGAAACCAGAAAAACACATTTGATGAAAGGGCGGTGTTTATAGGCTGTATCAAATGCCCCTGCATTAACGCTCACATATACAGTATGAGTTTTAAACATTAAGGTTCAGCTGGAAAGTAACATTTTGGTAAAAAATTGCTATACCAGCACATGTTATTTTCTGGTACAAAATTAAGTATGAAGTCATGTGTGTATCTCCTTGCTTTTTTCAGGAAAGTATCATTACACTGTTTACTTTTAGAATATCTGGAAACAGGTCAATGGAAGCTTCTGTGTTGTCTGGAAACTTTGAAAGGAAATTTGGAAAAATAGAAAGTGTGAAATATCAGAATTTCCTGGAGTTCCCATTGAACCCCTACCAGATATTCTAAAAGAAGACAATGTAATGATACTTTCCTGAAAAAAGCAAGGAAATTGATACATGCCTTCATACTTTATTTTGTACCAGTATATAACATGTGCAGGTATAGCAATTTTTTACCAAAATGTTACTTTCCAGCTGTACCCTAATTTAGTAGACTAAAGTGTTGATACGAAATCTCAGTAATAGTACCAGTTAGGAGATAAGGTGATGCCCGATTTAACATTACAATAGCTGGATATGTTGCATGTTTGTCACACATTTGCTTAAGGTGCAGTGGAATGACAAAACAGGAAGTGACAAAAAATGTGGCATTTTTAGACATTTTTTGAACAAAGATAACAGAGTTCTGTTTTGACCTCCAGTCAACTAGTTCCACTCATCATTTACACCCTAAACATGATGAAATAACTTTCTCAGCCCTCTGAAAATGTGACTGGAAAATAGCTAAAAGTAGGAGCTTAGGAAAGGTCACTGAACAGAATTTTTCTGAAAATGTGCCCAATATATTGTATCTTTCTTATCCTGTTTTGTCATTTCCTGTCAAGTGCCACTGCACTTTAAGAAATTGAAGTCAGGCAAGTTTTTTTGCATGACAGAATATTCCACGCAATTGATAATGATGAAATAAAAAATAAAAAATAATATATCACGCAAACACACACAAATACGCCAAAAGATTTTGGCTCTGCCAAAACTTGGTTTAGTTGATAAGTCTAAAGATGCATTTGTATTTGTGATTAAAGTGTAATCAAGTGAATTACAATGCATATCAAAACTTCTAGCGCATCTCTGCAACAACTGACATCATACGACTTCTTCTGGACAGTAAAAATTAATATTAATTTCAGTACAATATTTAGAAATTTACAGTTGTCTAGAACTACAAAGTTACATGTATGTACATGTCCCGGGGTACATGTATGGTAAATTTTTGCATTTATCATATGTATTGATTTGTACTAAAGAACCACAGATTCTAAGCAAAGATTAAAAGAAAGTGCTACGTAGCGTTTAAAATTTTCAATTTTTTTAAGTTTTGTCAACATGGTCAATTAGGCAACACTGAATGCCCCGCTCTGATGTGAGTCAAAATTCAAAAGTCTTCCCATGACTCAATTATTGTGAATTAGAAACACTCGTCACTTTGTGTTCATTCGAATAGATAAGTCCTTTTAACAAAAGTCATGAAAATTGAAATTCAGTTTTTCATTTTATCTTTCAAAGTTTCCACCTTTGATTTCCGTTTAAATTTAGTCAGTAATCCAACTATGATTCCGTACCATAAAACAAATGCCTCAGTCATAGAAATCACTGACATTCCTACCAATAAACCCAAGCTTCCGCCTATTTCAGATACCATCGAACCTAATGTAAAATCCTCAGTTTGAGTTGTGATCTTTGTGTCCAAATCTTTGAAGTACACATTGAGTCTGATGAATTGCTCACGCAAGTCATCTCCGACTTGTTTGTTGACAACCCTGATGTTTTCCATTGAATTGTTTGAACATTGCTGAGATATCCTTTGGTGAAATACATCATAAATGCTTGAATTCTCATAATTGTCAAGCTTTACGATCAATTTACAATAGAAGTTAAACTCAATGCCCTTCATTGGCCATTGTGATTCAGATATTGTGATGTCATATTTGTTGTTGCTACAGTTTTCTTTACATTCACAACCTTCCTGCGCAAGAACATCTGTCCAGGTATACTCTTGCATGGAACAATTCAGTTGTTCCAAATCTTGTCTGAGTATTGTCACATTGGGGTCTTCTTTCAGCCATTCAACAGCTTGGATATTTGCGCAGAACTCAGCGTTTTTAGTTTGGTCATCGACTGGTAGTGATCCAAGGATGCATCCACATGTTTTATAAATCATCCTCTGCAGACATATTGATGTACAAGCTTTAGTGCTGTATTTCCACACATCATATCTTATATCATTATGATCAACACATTCACCCCAGGGTGGGATCATTAGCTCACGTCTCTTAGCAGAAAGTGCAACGTTGACAGAATTTCCTGCCTTGATATCAAACCCATCATTTTCTGGATCGGGTAATGTCCCTCGGTCGTGAATTACAACTCTAACACCCTGACTACCAGAAGTCGGATAATCTGGGTCAAACGAAGTTGAAAAATCTTCATCTGTATCCAGAAAGAGGAGTAAGGATAAACCAGCAGTTGGTCCTGCAATTTCAGATGTTAAACCAGGGATATTTGATGAGGGTCCATTATAAGTAAAGCAGTTGAAATGTGCATGATGGCCACTTCGGTAAGGTTCTTCCTTGCATTTGTTTCCTTGATATTTGCAAGACGGTATGAAGTCCTCATGGGTCATGGTGTATCTCAGAAGCTGAGACAGTTGAAAATTTTCATATTGTCCGCTATTGGTGTTGAGTCTTTTAAAGGATTGATTGTATAACATTTGTACTTCTTGACTTGCATCCAACAGATTGGAAATGTTTAAATCATATTGTTCTAATGTGTTCATTAAGTTGTTAAAAGCTGAAAGTTCAAAATTGTCTTTCACATCTTTGCCATAATTAACGACTCCCTTCCTGGAAACCGGTGATAAGGGGCATATTGTTACAGAGGGAAAAACGGCATCATCCTTTGTGACCCTAACTCTGTCTTTTGTGTCAAATTGGCCATAGCGTATTATAACATTGATGATTAGATATAAGGCCACTATACAGCATCCTGATGTGATGACTATCCACACAGCTTTTCCTATCTTGGTTGTACTTTTTATAACATTGCCCCAACCATGTGCGGTGGTATTTCCTGCAAAATCTTCAAGCAGTTTTTTCATCTTTGCGATACTTTTCGTGCAAAATTCAAGTTGTCATTGCTATTCTAATAGTTTTATGATTAAGCTCTAATATATTGAGCTCCCACATATCATTCATTTGTCCTTCTTGAACTGTTTTTTCAGAGTCTGGCCTAAGTGAATTTAGGTAAATTAATCCCTTTTTTAGCTCTTTCTCACAACCTTCAATTGATAAAAGAAGCTTGTTAGTCCATTTGTTTTCTTCACTTTTGTTTCATACTGACTATTGGTGTTTGCAGTCTTAACTGTTGTAAATTTGGTCATTGATTTAGCATATGACTTCCTCCGTGGTGAAAAATTGATAAACAAGTTACTTTTGACTGTATCATTAAGTGCTAGGCTAACATGACTATATATGGTGTCCTTTGAAATGCTTCTTGCTCTCAATTTAGTTATCCAGCTTTTAGCTTTTGTGTCAAGATAAAATGTGTGTAAATGTATCACAATAGGCTAATGGAAGCTTTTAAATGATCTTAAATATGTCTGGAGGAAGTCACAATGTTCTCACATCAATATTACAACATACCATAGTGTTATCAATAAAATATTTTCCTGAATGATTAGCTCCCAACAATCGCTTCCGTTGAATGACAACTTTATATTTAATGATATCCAGAAAATCTTCTAAAGTTGAACACTAAACTTTTGTAAAATGTTTGGCAAAAACTTATCATTTTCTTTCCAGCATTGCTTTATCTGAATATAGCTGTTAGTATTATAGATTTTTAATTCTTAAATAATTATGTTTCACCCCCATTTTACTTGGACATCAATTGTCCCTGGTTTGAGTACTTGTAGCAAATATTTTCTTGTGGATCACTTAAGAGGAGATATTTTACTTGTATAGATTCACATTAATTTTACCTTCGGTTAAAGGTGCAGTAATGGACTTTAAAATGTTGCATGAAATGTGTTCCCCTTAATAGGTTTCATCGTACTTATTAGAAATTAGAAATTGCCCTTTATTTGACCCAATCTATATTCTTAATAGAAATCGAAAGTAATTACCACAAGACATTTTGACAGCATATCACATTGCTACACAAGTTGACTAAGTTAAATGGAATGTTCATTAATAATATAATGAGCACCAATGCAGCCAAATTATCCTTGAGATATTTACTTACTAATTAATCAAGAGGGGCTTATATTTCAACAATGAACCCTTTACTCCTGTAAAATGAGTACTGTAGATACACTTAATTTGGCTCCCGTTTTAATTTGACGGATTGGCGGATTCACAAAATCTGCCAAATTAAAAATCCGTCAAATTTCAGTTTGGAATTTTTGTCCAATGCACTTCAGAAATTAAACTCCAGGAGCCCCTTTTCCTGTAAACATGTTATCAATTCTACATTATTCCAAAAGAAATACAGAAAATATCTCAGTGAACACCTGTCTTAATGACATTAAAATTAAACTTCAGTCCTGAATCCGCCAAAGTAAATAGCCACCAATATTTGAAATTTAGCAAATCTGTCAAATTAAGTAGCGTCAAAATAATAAGTGTATCTAGAGTATATACTAATCAATATATTTTTAAGTGTTCAGCTTTAGACGGTTTCATGTATACCTTTGAATATAAAGTGGCATGGAATGGAAGTAATTGTCGTATATCATGCTTAAGCAAATGAATACATAAGAATCAATATGTCAGCTTCCAAATATGGAACCTAATTATAGCTCTTGATATCTGGATTCAAGCAAAATTCAGGTAACTACATTTTCGTCTCCACAACATGAATTCACATGAGAAACATTTGACATGATATAACAGATCTTTGTAGATCATTGTTTGAAATAATTAATCTCTTAATCTCTTGTAGCTGGGATTTATTTGAGTTTTGAATGGGCCAAGAGATGTAATAACCTGCCATTGTACCAAGACACTATTTTTATTTTATTTATTTTATTCATCATGTAAAGATGGACTATCTAATTAGTTTATGACCAATATCAATTGGAGAGCACCAATGCTCCACAACTGAAAATGGCAGAGCAAAATTCTGATTCTGCTTAAGGGTTGGGGTTTAGGGATAGGATTAGGGTTGAAGTATCTTCAGCCATCTTCATTTGGAGACCAAAAATCGTTACCTGACATCAATCATCATGTCATATCACCAACATGATTGGTTGAAAACTACCAGAAACAAAATGGATGATTCAAAATTTTGTAAAGGGGCTTTGAACAACAAAATGTAAGTTTCTGGCATCTAATAGCTGTCTAATCTTCCATGCACAATACACAATATCATTTGATTATTTCTTTTAATGTTTTGCAACTCATTTGAAACTCAGCAAAGGCATATGCCTCACAATGATTTTTTATCATACCTAACAAAAGGTATGATATTGTAGTCAGCTTGACGGGCGGCGGGCGGGCGGGCGGCGTCTCACTTTCAAGACTTGTCTACAGGTTTTCAGCCAAAGCATTGGAGGGATTCATCTGAAATTTTCAGGGATGTTTCTACATATCAACGTCAAGAACTGATTAGTTTTTGGGCATTCTGGGTAAATTTTAAGGTGGTCATTTTGGATTTTCCGTCCTAAAATCTTTACTTTCAAGACTTGTCTACAGGTTTTCAGCCAAACCATTTGAGGGATTCATCTGAAATTTTCAGGGATGTTTCTACATATCAACGTCAAGAACTGATTAGTTTTTGGGCATTCTGGGTAAATTTTAAGGTGGCCATTTTGGATTTTCCGTCCTAAAATCTTTACTTTCAAGACTTGTCTACAGGTTTTCAGCCAAACCATTTAAGGGATTCATCTGAAATTTTCAGGGATGTTTCTACATATCAACGTCAAGAACTGATTAGTTTTTGGGCATTCTGGGTAAATTTTAAGGTGGCCATTTTGGATTTTCCGTCCTAAAATCTTCACTTTCAAGACTTGTCTACAGGTTTTCAGCCAAAGCATTTGAGGGATTCATCTGAAATTTTCAGGGATGTTTCTACATATCAACGTCAAGAACTGATTAGTTTTTGGGCATTCTGGGTAAATTTTAAGGTGGCCATTTTGGATTTTCCGCCCTAAAATCTTTACTTTCAAGACTTGTCTACAGGTTTCCAGCCAAACCTTTTGAGGGATTCATCTGAAATATTCAGGGATGTTTCTACATATCAACGTCAAGAACTGATTAGTTTTTGGGCATTCTGGTTAAATTTTAAGGTGGCCATTTTGGATTTTCTGTCCTAAAATCTTCACTTTCAAGACTTGTCTACAGGTTTCCAGCCAAACCGTTCAAATTTTTACATATGTTACACAGTGATAAGTTCTAGAGCTGATTAACTTTTCTGCGGCCATCTTGCTTTCTTGGTCAACAAGACCACAATGCTGTGTTTTAGGTACGATATTGTTCACGTCTGTGCCTTGTTTTTTTTTTGCCTCACAATGATGATACATAAAATAATAAGTGATGATAACATCACTTATATATTTCATAAAAAATACTTTTAGTTATGTTGAATTGTATTACTGTATTTGGTGCGACTTTGATTCGATAATTTTCAAGTGTCCCTGACATCCTGTCAAACAAAATTCCAAATATTTGTTGTCAGTGTTGAACAGTTTCTTCAATATTTCTTGTTGTTTATGTAAAGGATAGTTATCAATATGGTGAACTAAATTCAACAATGTTTTTCTCTTAAATCAATTATTGAAACCATTCTGTAAAAAATTTGACGATGTGTAAAATTTTCAGAATTTTTTGATGACTGGTTTAAGAGAAACGCGTGTTCAAAAAGTTCACCATATCGATACCACTCCTTTAAAAGGCTGGGCCATCTTGGTATCTTTCTTATAACTGGAAATGCACCAAACAACGGACATGTCAAATTTTTTCAATTCGCCAATTTAAAACACTCATCAAATTAAAGCCAAATACACTAGCGTGCAATATACATACAGGTTATATCAAAAATTGATGTGACATCTATTTTGTAAAACAGAAACAATTTCTGCTGGTAACTGTACTCAAAATATTGGGGATGGATGCATTGTATTTATTAGCTTGTATTTGTTTTTGTGTCAGCCACCTTAAATTTAAAAAAAACACTTGTTAGTATAATAAAAGTTAGAAAGTTAGAAATAAGTCAGAACAAAGAAAGAGGACATGTATTTAGGTTTTTGATGTTATAAAATTTGTAAAAATGAAATGTGGGACTCTCCCATAGAGTGTTCATATATTCAAAGGTTCATCATGTTGAAAGTCATGCATTTATGTTTTTTGATTTCAGACCAGGAGCCAATGTATACAAATAGTTCTTTCTCAAAATAGCTGATCCCTATTAAAGACCTCTACTAGCCGAATATGGCATTATGTTCAGTGAGAATCCAGCTGACGATGAAGCTTGAAACTGTTCTAAGGTAAGATAGATGTAGAAAATAACAATTGTGATGTTATGTTATACAGGCTATCTAGTATATAGTCTTGCTTAAGTGGCCATGCACAAAAATAGTGGCTATTTTTTTATATATGCACCATCTTTTTGATAAGTTGAGAAGTACATGTAACCGAACAAGTACAATGATGTTTTTAGTATTGTTCACCATTGATTGTCTTAGTAATTAATTGAACATGGCAGCCATTTTATAAAGTAAAGTTTATGAATCCTTTGTATAATTTCAAGATATGGGTTCAGTTAATAGTTTTAGGTCAAATATAATCAGATAAATCTCTATTAATAAATTATGTTTGTAGTGTTATTCTAGATTTCATTCCCAGACAGCTATGTTAAAACTGATAAAATAAGGTAAATGTTACTCTTATTAAATAGGATGCCATGGGAGATTGTATTGCAAGTTATATATTCTATACATATGCAGTGATCTCCCCATCAAAGCAAGTGGGCGCAGCACCCACCTGAGATTTTGCAAATACGCTTGTACCCACCTGAAAATCCATCTGCACCCACTTAAAAATGAGAAAAATCATGGAAAATGGGCATATTTTGACCAATTTTGGTCTGAATTGTGAAAATGAGAATTTTGCACCTACTTGAGAAAATATCCTTGGGAGATCACTGATATGTATGAACTAATGATATTGAATTGATATCTAATAAAAAGGTACATGTAGACAATAATCAAATAATCAAGGAACGCCTTTACGTTCCTCAGTCGAAACAAATTCATTTCCTTAAAAAAATTGAACATTTTTCCAAGATTTATATTTTGAAAAATGAATGGTAACCCAATTGATAAATCAGATAAAATGATAATGAATAACAAATTGGGCTCATATTCTGAAAGAAGCAAAAGTATGAACAAGTTTGAAATTGTGATGATGAAATGGTGAAGGTTGAACAATTTAGTTTTCTCTCGAAAAAGCAACAACTTTAAAGTTCCCTACTTTTCTATTTATTTTTGTTTCACATTTCTTTCCATAAAATTTGCTTTTGCCCTGTTTCAGTCGAAACCGAATCTTCACGTTCTTTTTTGTGTGAAATAATTTTGATACATGATAACAAGATAATAGAAATATTGACAATGTTCAGCACTTAAGAATATTTATTCATACTTCTGCTATTCTAATGAAAGGTCAATTTCGTGATAAATTCTACATGTTAATCTAATTTTATTTGCCTTAATATTTACGGCCTGTAGATATTACTTCAGTAAGTGATAAGAACATTGACTTGACCACATATTGAGAGAAATTGAGACTTATCATTGCTTTGGATACACTACAAGATACATACAACTGATTTACAATAAAATGGATACTGTTGTAGATAATATTATTGTATATAAGTATCAGTTTTTAGGATGCATAAGCACCGCATGATTTAGAGAAAACAGTATAGGATTTTAAATAATATTTGTTATAAGTAACAAAGTTATTATAATATTGCTCAAACTTCAGTTGTTTAATTCCGGTTACAACCAAACATATAATTAGGAAGATGTTGCCTCTTAGTTATATACCATACATGTAGTTATATAGTAATACAGGATTTACAATATCAGAACATCAAAATGAAGGATAAACCAAAAATGTCAAATTCAGTTGTCCATACAGCTCATAGAAAATGGGATCCAGCTTCAAAAGGTATTACTAACCCAAGCTTTAGTGACAAAACAAATGGAAAAATAGATGCTTTGGATGAAACAACCAGATATAATAACAATATACCTCTTAATGATAGTGGCAGTGATCTCAGTAGGCCAGAAAATAACCCTGTTGTTGAGTTTAATTCAACTGGGTTGGACACTCTACCTGGATGCCCTATGCCCAAGCATGATGGTGCATTACCCAAGCATGTTAATTTGGTGCCTAAGCATGTTGATCCCATGTCAGAACATATAGATGCAGTGCCAAAGCATGTAACATTAAAACCTGAACATGTCAATTCAAAGCCAAAGCATGTTGATACAAATTCAAGTAACGTTTTTAAAAGATTTTTCTCATGGAAATCAAAGAAAAAAAATTCAATAGTAGCTGAGAATATTAACACCACAATCTCTGATAATGATGACACTATAACAGATATACATAATAAAACTGACACCTCTAGTGTAAAAAGTGGAAAAGGCAGCCAAGAACCCAATGATGTATTTTGGGATACGGCACCTTTAACTGAGCAAAAAACAGAAGTTAACAGATCTTTAAAATGCAATTCTTCCAAAGGGGCTCATAAGGGGTTGATTGGATTACTAACCCCAGTTCTTCCTGGTCTACCTACAGATGAAATGGTAAGGTTTGGCATATTAAATGGTAAGGTTTGATGTATTGAAATGGTAAGGTTCGATGTAGTGAAATGGTAAGGTTTGACATATTATATGGTAAGGTTTGATGTTGTGAAATGGTAAGGTTTGACATATTATATGGTAAGGTTTGATGTAATGAAATGGTAAGGTTTGACATATTATATGGTAAGGTTTGATTTGATGAAATGGTAAGGTTTGGCATGATGAAATGGTAAGGTTTGGCATTTGAAAGGGTAAGATCCGATATGATTAAATGGTAATGTCTGGCATATGAAATGGTAGGTTTTTGCTTTAAGTTAATGAAATGGCAAGGTTAAATATATTATAATAGTGAGGTTTGGCATGATGATATGGTAAGGTTTGATATGATGAAATGGTAAGATTTGATGTCATGAAATGGTAAGATCTGATTAAATGGGAAGGTTTGGCATATTAAATGGTAGGGTTTGGCAAAATGAAATGGTAAGATTCTATACATTAGAGTGGTAAGGTTTGACATGACGAAATGGAATGGTTTGATATGGTGAAATGGTAAGGTTTGGCATATGAAATGGTAAGGTCTGGCATGATGAAATGGTAAGGTCTGATATTATGAAATTGTAAGGTTTGATATGATAAAATTGGTAATGTTTAATGACAGTATAATGAAATGGTAAGATTTGATGTAATGAAATGGAAAGTCCGAAAAAGATATGGAGTCAAATTCATATAGAAATACCTTCTGGTGATTTAAAATGAGGTCGACATTTTTCATCCCAATGTACAACTTGTCTTGAGATACATACCTCAAGATACCTTACCATTAAAATGTATGTGGGAATAAAGATTAAGAGGGGTTGAGTGGAGTCAATGAAGAAAGCACCTGAGCGAGGGGATAGGAAAGAACATTGTCCAAATAAAAACAGAGCTTTTCTCAGTATTGATTGCCTACTTGACTCGAATCAAGCATATTGCCATATTTCATTCTATTTACCCTCCTCCTCAACTGTTACCTGGTTTAACACTCGCAGTAATACTGAGGTATCTAAGAACACCCTTCAGATTAGTGTATACAAATTAGTAGTGGTCTCAACACAGATTCTTAACTGGGTGCCATTCTGATAATTTACCCTTCTTAATGGAAATGGCTAAAATGTAGTAAAACCTGTGTACGAGTAAGTGGAATATATTGGTACATTTGAAAATGCTGCGCAATCCGTTATGGCACTTTGAGGAATGGTCCATTTGGGGGGTGTTCTTCTTCCAAAGGTTCATTTAACAGTCATAATATTTTCTTGCAAATGTGACACGTACCTTATCATTTTATGTTTCATAGGTTTTTGGTTGTTTAAGTGGATTAAATGTTAGTTTATCGCTGAAAAGTAGAGGTCTTGGGTTCAAACCCAGGTCACAGCACTTCTTGTGATTTGTCTTTGACCTATGACTGCTGACCTATACTGGCGATTACTAGAGTGCTGCTGACTCGATAAAAGGCTGGCGCTGGCTAGAATTGTCTATGGTTCTAGCCAGGATAAAGATACCAGTTCTTCAACTCGACAATGGGAAGAACTGCTCTACCTGGGTGACTAATATGTCATGATATGACATCTAAAGAGTCAATAAAAGATATATATCATAAATTTATTCACTCTTGTTCCTTAACAATATTAGTGGTATAGATGGATCAAAAATTAAACAAAATATTGAAAATGAAAAACTAAGCAATAAAGTTACCTATCAACCAAGTAACATTATGTATCAATAAATTACTTGCATATCAATGAATTACTTGCAGTTTTAAATCATACTTGCATATGAATAAATTACTTGCATATTAGTAAATTATTTGCATCAATTATATCTTGCATATGAATAAATTAGTGCATGTAAATAGATTGCTTGCATACTAATAAATGTTTTGCATAATAATAACTTACTTGCATATTGATATATTACTTGCTCAAATAAATTACTTGCGTATTTATAAATTACTTGCATTTTAATAGATACACAAATATTTCTGTGCATGCTTTCAGCAAATCAGCAATGAAAGAAAGAGAAGATTCTAAAAACTAAATCTGGGTTGATAAATAGTGATACTTGATGATTGCTATGTAATAGTTGAAATACAGATGACATCTTATTTCTTGATAATTTGAGTCATCTAAGTGCTTTAATTTGTAGAAATCCTGATATGATTTGTTAGCTTTTTCTTCTCTAAATAGAAGTTTCCTGTAAATTGTTGCAGAGTACAGGATTAAAATAGATACCCGAGATAGAAAGTACACAATGTGTGAAATGTAAAATGTGATTGCGATTAACTCTATTGAATGAGTGTTTTTATCATCAGGTTCGTAGCCAGGATTTGCCAAGGGGGGTTCACTTTTTGAAAAATTCCAGGGGGGGTTTACTTGTGACAATTTTGGTCCAAAAATAGCCAAAATCAATGGAACCCATCAACCCCCCCCCCCCTGGCTACCGGCCTGGTCATTAAATATACTAGCAAAATATATATCTAATATTTTTATCGAGAGAGAAAAAAACACGAAATGCATCCAATAAAATCTTGCAATGATCAAGCACCCTTTGATTAGTTAATATACTATATAGATAATTAGTTAAGCTTTTTCATTTTTTTCTGTTTAAGCTGTACACTTTGCCCAAATGTGGGATACAAGTATAATAAAGCTCATAATAATAATAATAATAATATAGAGGGCAGGCTCTTCTTACAGATCTGGAAATTGTGAAATTCTGCAAAAAGTTGGTAAAATTAGGATTTTATCTTGAGAATGTCAGTGAATTTTCCTTCTAAGGAGGTTCATGTAGGATGGAATGCTGTGGGTATCAATGTGGGTCATATCCACTCGACAGTAGCCCCAGGCAGATGTAAATATCTAGAGTCTAGTGTAAAATTGAAGTGCCTTGCCACACTGTCTAACGTTGAAAATTATAGAACAAAGTCAATTCTAAGTACTTTCATAAACATATTACTTTCTTTTTAAAGATTTTTAATCACAAGAAAACTGTGAGTATGCATATAATTTATCATCAGTGGTAACACTGTGGCGAGTGTAATTTTACATTGGCGAGTGTGAAAACACAAGTTGATTGTCACTTGTCGAGTGATTAAAAAATCCTAAGACCAACACTCGGTGTATTTGTCACATTTCTCATGTTTTATAATAATGTTGAAGAATTCATATTTCACATAAAGAATTAAGGCTTGTGCGATGTTTTACTCACATGTTTAAAAACTTAGACTCTCTGTATAGGAACACCCATCTACAAGGAATCATTTATATCAATATGTGAGTGTATTCCATAAATCTTATATCACCATGATCGTAGCCAGGCTTGCGCTCGTATAGAAAAATATTAATTTGGATAATTTTCGATTGAAACTTTGAAAATAGTGTCTTTTTGTCGCTTCTAACCCAAAATTTGCCTCGACAAATAAAATTTGCCTCACCCAAACTAACATCCTGGCTACGCCCCTGATTACTGTTTTACTGTATTTTGACATCATCTACCCTTGCATTTTAGGAAGATACCTTACATGACACTTATGAGAACTTTAAGAGCAAGAACTATGACCTGGAACTTGCAGCTGCGCATATTGATGATGCCTTGAAGGGAAGGGGGGCATATGGCAGGGCTAGAGCTGTGTTTAAGTCAAAATGGACTAAGCGGTGAGTTTTCCCAAAGTAATGCATATGGCCAATTATTTTACTCCTTGAGGTATTTGAAGGGGGGGGGCATATGGTAGGGTTAGAGCTGTGTTTAAGTCAAAATGGACTAAGCGGTGAGTATTCACATAGCAATGCATATGGCCAATTATTTTACTCCTTGAGGTATTTGAAGGGGGGGGGGGGCATATGGTAGGGTTAGAGCTGTGTTTAAGTCAAAATGGACTAAGCGGTGAGTATTCACATAGCAATGCATATGGCCAATTATTTTACTCCTTGAGGTATTTGAAGGGGGGGGGGGCATATGGTAGGGTGAGAGCTGTGTTTAAGTCAAAATGGACTAAGCGGTGAGTATTCACATAGCAATGCATATGGCCAATTATTTTACTCCTTGAGGTATTTGAAGGGGGGGGGGGGCATATGGTAGGGTTAGAGCTGTGTTTAAGTCAAAATGGACTAAGCGGTGAGTATTCACATAGCAATGCATATGGCCAGTTATTTCACTCTTCAAGATATTTGGAGGGGAGGGGTCATGCATATGGTAGCGCCAGAGCTGTATAAGTCAAAATGAACTAAACGGTGAGTTTTCACAATAATTTCCCTGCTCAAGGTATTTGAAGGGGAGAGGGCTAGAGCTGTATTTAAGTCAAAATGGACCAAACAATGAGTTTTCACATAGAACGTGCCTGGGCCTTATCAAGATATTATTTTGCTCTAATGTGTGCAATTAGTTTGTTTTTGCCATTACTTAAGTAGGTGTGAAATCATGCAGAGCCAATTTAAAGTAATGGCCGCGCCCAAATTGTATTGTTTGATTGGCATATAATTGTTGTTGTTGTTGTAAATGTTTATAATTATCACATTGAGCAATAGCGTATAATTATTGTAATTACTGTTTTATTGCTTTGTTTGTAATCACGTTGACCATAAACGTGTGACAATATTTGGGCAATATTCCTTCATTATCACGCAGGTCCTCACCCGGTTATAAAATGTCTTTATAACATATTGGATGAATTTCCTTCAGAGGCAATTTTTATTTTCATCTTTTTCACCAAGAAGGAAGTCGATTTGTATCCAAAAATTTTACCTGTATGTTGATAGTGACATACTGAAAAGCAGTAAGTCACGAGTATACATCCAAGGGCTCTGATAATCGAGTGAAGAACCCCTCTCTTTTAAGCAACCAGGACAATTCAACAGATAACGTCGTCCTGGTAACTGATTGAGTGAGGGAATTCTCACTTAATTATTTGAGCTGCTGGATATATTTGCTTGTGACTGACTAGCTTTTCAGTAACTGGATGCTACCATTAACATACGGGCAAAATATTTGGATACAAATCAACCTCTGATGAAATAAAAATCTTACAAATTTTCTGCAATGGAAGTTCATCCATTTTGTTATAAAGACTATAACATCTTCATAATCAGAGATCTGTGATTATACAAACTAAATGTGTTATTAACAGTGCCACCTTTCTAATGATAAATGCAAAATTCACATATTAATCCCAAATCCTTTAATTTCTTGCAGATGTTTTGAGATTTATGACAATCCTTGGTTCAACAGATGGATGTATGTCATCATTTTACTTCACAGTCTCCTTGCTTTCTGGGAGCCTTGTCAAGACACAGTGACACCAGGAGGGTGAGTACAGGCCTGTCAACTGTCCCGCAATTTGCGTATTTGTCACGCATTTGCTGAAGAATTTGAAGTCACGCCAGTTTTTTTTGCGTGACAGAAAATGTCACGCAAAATACGCATTTTACCTGGTCATTGTCAAGCAAAAATATTTCTCTAGAAATTTTTTCGAAATATGTTTACGATACGGTAAAAATACGAACGCCGGGAAAAACCGAACGCAATTTGTTCGGATTTGTCACACGAATCCCGTATGTGTCACGCATGTTCATTGGAATTTCTTCGTACCTCCCCCCCCCCCCCCCCCCCCCCCCCCCGTTGACGACATAGCGAGCGTAGCGAGCGCGAAAAATTTGAGGTGTTCAAAGTTTGGCAAAGGTGCTCAAACTTTGGCCAAAGGTGTTTAAAAGTTGGCCAAAGGTGTTCAAAATTTGGACAAAAGTGTTCAGATTTGGACTTAGGTGTCCAACATTTTGAAGTCACTCATATTAGGTGGTCCCAAGTTGACAGCCCTGTGAGTATACCTAGTTCTGAAACCTGCATATAATGAGTATACCTAGCTCTTTGACATTAAGATCATGAGTTCATGTATACACAATTCTGTAACATATACAAGTAGATCAAAAGTATACCCAACTTTGAAACATAATATAATGAATAAACCTAGTTCTGTAACATATATATAGTGAGCTTACCTGTAACATATATATCAAAATTATACCTAGTTCTGTAATATATATAATATACCACATATGTTACAATTTGAGAGCATGAGTATACCTGGTTCTGTAAGATATAGATAACGAGTATACCTTGTTTTGTAACATACAGCAGGTTGTCCATCTAATAATGTGACACCATGTAGAAGTATAGGGCTATTTTATTTGATTTAATTCCATATGGTCTGTAAAATGAAAATGTGTCTTGTATTTTCAGTGTCCACCCTGTTGTGATAGCCCTGAATGCTCTTTGTGTACTGATGTATGGTATAGACATTACACTTCACCTCATATATTTCTCGTGGAAGAAGTTCTGGACACTAGAGGAGACAAAATGGATGCGGATTGAATTTGTGTTTGTCTGCATGTTCTTCGTTGATTTTCTTATGCTCGTCATCCAAGCTATTGTCGGGAAGGTGAGGATTTTTTCTTTGAATATTAAAATGTTTGTTTGGGGTTATTCCCCTTCTAATTTATACTTTAGGTTAATAGGATTCTACCCATACTTCCATCTTTATATCAGTCTATCTCAATATCTGAACTGTTCTGATTATTGTACTTGTAATGTTTGAATAGAGAAATAAAAAAAAAATCTTAATATCAGTCCAAAACCTAATGGTTCAAACTCTATTACCTGCATTGATGTTATCCTTGATCAAGTTATTCTCTGCTTGATTTGAATTTCACACAGAAAAATTCCACATGGAAAACTGTATTTTCACATTGAACTTTCAGATACTCATCTATTCTTCCAAAATAATTAACAATTATTCAACAACTTCAAAACAATTAGATTAATCCTGAATTATAATGAGTATGTTGTATGCCCCAATTCCTCGTACATACTGCAGATATATTAATTATGTACAAAAGTTTTTTTATGTTTCTCATTTAATTGATATTTATTTGATGGCATTGTCTCTGAAAAATACAATTACTTTGTGAGGTTACATCACACCTAAAAAGGATGGCTTAGTTAATAGCTTTTATTTGCAATACGTCAAATGACATTCATTCCCTTAATCAACAAATTGATGTTAATTGTCATAGGATGATAGGATGTGTCATATGAATTTAAATTCACTGTTATAAGATAATTTATTAAGAGATAACGGTAAGCAGTTATTTTATAGAACAATTGAATTGATTAATTACTTTTTATATAAGCTGTAATCTATTATTATGCGTGAGATCACAGTTCAATAATTAGAACACTTGATTTACAGTTCTATAATTAAGTACTGTTTAGGCGGCTGTTTTAATTTGGTGAATTGCAAAAATTCGCCAATTCATGTCCCCGCCAATTTTTCAGAAAAAGATCCCTGGGAATCCCAAGTTTCTGTTTTTCGTCTAGTGTACTAGTATCTGCGCATGTGCACTCAGTTATACTGCAATTTTTAAAATTTTTAAAACACTAAATTACATTAAGACGTGAAATATGTCAATTCCGAGTTGGGTTAGAATTCGCCACTAAATCAAGCCAATTTTCCGATTTTGAGAAATTCGCCAAATGGAATAGAGCCAAATTGAGTAGAATATCAGTTGTACAGTACTGTCAACCCCCAAAGATTTTCTCGCGGGACAGATTTTTTAGACCCAGTGCCCAGAATTCTGGGGATTTTGCGGGACATCCACCTGAATTCGCGGGATTTTGCGGGACATTTAATGGATTTGCGTGATTGCGCTAATAGGCCAAATTGTGATCAAATTCGCGGGATTTGGCGGGAGCATTCGAGGGACAAACACGCTAACTGCGGGACAGTTAACAGGGTAATCACCAAATTCACTTTGGATTTCGCGGGACATCTACCTCTTGCCGGATGTCGCGGGACATTCGAGGGATTTGCTTGATTGGGACTTAATGTAAAATTACTCAAATCAAACTTTCAGATACTGATTCATCAAATATAATTTCACACAATACGCATAGAAATATTATTAAACTTTATTGTAATTAATCAAAAACAAAAACCACGCTATAATTGTGACTAGGCCCAGCGTAATCCAACACGAAAATCAAAAATTCTGAACAATACTTTGCACTTATGGCGTTCGTGACCAGCTATGAAACGCTAACATTGTTCTGTTGATTATTTCAATATTTCGGCAATAATATACCCATAAGTTATTCTCAAGATATATCCATTGTATGTGAGATACAATAACAAGGGGACATCATTGAGAAACCTATGGTATAATGTATCTTTAACAAAGACCTCAATTCTGTGATTTATGGCAAATATATGAACTCAGATTTTATTCTGGCCATTGCAGAATACCTCAATCATTACATAATTTCTGAGTCTTTTAACAATGAAGACATTTCAGTTATATATTGCGCCATAAATCATAGAATCTCTGTCTTTAATTCTTAAATATTCATTAATTAAAACAAGAATACATTTACAGTAATATTCCTCATTAAAAGCTTATTAGGCGAGAGTTTATAACTAATGTCTTTATCATGGAATCTTTTTCCTTTAATTAAATGCTTACGTAAAAATCTTCCTGTCATTGCATAAGTGTTAATATGATATAACATTCCAGGAAAAACCTACATGGATTTTTTGTGCGTCATTTTTCATTAACCCCATTCTCTCTAAAGACTGATCATCTGCACGTGCGACTTCTGCAGATGACAACCTAAATCCCTTCAATTTTAAAACACTAAAAAGGATAGGTATTGATATGGCATCCTCCGATCACAGGGCTTCAAAATCCAGAATATATTCTTTCTTTTTACCCCCTGCGATAAGCAGGTAGCATTCCCCCGATTAAGAACTCGCAATCTGATTGGCTGTCACAACACTGCGACAGAAATCATGTATAAGTCATTGCGCATAATTAGATCACATGATTCAGTGCTTCCAAATTGGTTATTGCTTGGGGAAGAAGGAGGTATGGATTCTGGATATTTGCTTAGGAGGATGCGATATGGTGACTGAATTCAACAATGTTTTTCTCTTAAACCAATTATTGAAAACATTCTGTAAAAAAACACAGCCCTTTATGTAATGTTGACTGATTGGCAATATAACTGTTTTTGTTAACATTTTTTGTTTTTTAGTGCAATTGTTTTTTGTTCCTTTCTACCTATTCTTGAGAATGAAATAAAATGTCTTTCCGAACCTTGTTGGAACAAAATACATGTAGCATATACAACATTTTCTTAGACCTCTCAATATTATAGTTATACAAAGGAAATTTTGGTTGATTTAACAAAAAGTATGCAAAACTTAAAACAAAACCCCTAAAAAAGATAAAAATTAAGATTAACCTTTTATTTCATTAACAAAATACTTTTTTAAAATCAACCAAACTTTCCCTTGAACAATTTCAATATTGTCGTTTTGTTCCAATGAGGTTCGGATAAATGTTTCATTTCATTCCGAACATATGATACCATGAACGAAAGAAGTGTCTGATGTGTTTTCTTAAACAATATAGAGAAAAGTATATATATATAATTCAAATTATAATGTTACCATCCAAAAGATGACCATTAAATTGACGATGTGTAAAATTTTCAGAATGTTTTGATGACTGGTTTAAGAGAAACGCATGTTTAAAAAGTTCACCATATCGATACCACTCCTTTATAATATGTTGTAGTATGTTGTAGTATAATAGTTATATGATATAACTATGTAATAATAGAAAATATAATATGATGATGAATATACAGGGTGTCAAAAAACAATGGCACCCCCTCTTCAGCAGAAAGTACATAATGTTACATGGTGTTTGATATCTCATTTTATAGACAATTCCATTCTGGAGTTACCTGAGAAATTTCAGCTTAAATATATCATATAATTTTATAGATTTACAGCGGATTCTTAGAAGTTGGTATCACCACCAGTTGCTGCTCGGACAGCAGCTTATCTGGATGGATATGATTTCAATAAAAATTCAGATAAAGGTGTAGCATTGCATAATCCTCTCAGCCTTTTCCTCACATTCTTCAGAATTACATCCTTACTGTATCTTTTTTCAAGAGGCTCTTTGTGCATCAATTCCCATACTCTGTTTTCAGAACTGAACCCATATTATATGTTCAGTGCAGTTGAAATCTGGACTAATTCTTCTGGACTAATTCTTCACTTTCTGAAGATTTGACCTTTAACCAGTAATAACAGGGCAGCAAACAAAGTAGAAGTAGCAAACTTTGAAACAATGTAGCTTTTGTAATATAGATTTTTATTAAATGAAATTTGATGAGTAACTCCAGAATTAAATTATCTTTCAAACGAGGTATGACACGATATGTCACATCAAGGAATTTATGCTATAGAGGGGGCGCCATTGTTTTTTGACACCCTGTAGTCTCAGAAAAATTGAAATTGACAGCAAATTGAGCTTGTTGATATCATTTTGATTACATTTGATGTAGAAAAAGTAATATGGAAGCCGTAGAGTATTTATAGCACGCATAGTGATAAAGGCTTAAAAGAAGTTGAAGTACATTGTATATGCATTGTCATTATTGATTATTTACCTATATCAACAATATTTTTCTCAAAATAATTGTATGTGCTATTTTTAGAATTTGTCAGTATTCATTATTTTTCATGTAACTTTCAGGAGCGCACTGTGTGTTACTTACCTTATTTTTCAGTCACAATGTGAAGAATATGATATCCCAGCCTACAGGTATTACCAGGTTAACTTTAGGTCTTCTCTTACAGGTTAACTTTCAGTCCATGTAGCAGCTTTCAGTCTACTTTAAGTGAATGTCCCATGTTAAAATTGCATTACCAATTATGGCAATTAAACCTACAGGCCTACTTTAGGTTAATGTACTTCAGGTCTATGTAATTTCTTTTGTTATGTAATCTTATGTAACATTACGTGTAATTATTATACAATATACTTTCTACAGCTCCAAACACTTTTTTGTTGTTTCACTTATTTAATGATGAGATACACCAGTATCTATTTTTAAATAATTGGAACAGGTGCCTGACTGCTTGAACCCCTGATAGCCTAATGACCAATAATGACAGATTAACCACAGACCACATGCTTCAAATTCTGGGGGTCTGTTCTCACTGGTCAGCAGGTCAGTCTCAGAGGTTCTGGCAAGCAAAGCAAATGTTAGCTAAGTTTCGTGATGTTTTAAGCAATCTGTGCAAAGTTTCCCATCTTCCCATCCCCTTTGCTCACACTTATGTGCTTTTGAGGGTCGTTTACTTCAGTTTATTAGGGTAGGATTAGCCTACATTAAAAGTAGGTGAACCGTAGTGTTGGGAAGTATCCCTTTGTATGGAAGTTTTGTTTTCTGATTACTTTGTTATGTAATCTTATGTAACTCTATGTAATTTTCTTTTGTTATGTAATCTTATGTAACATTACGTGTAATTATTATACAATATACTTTCTACAGCTCCAAACACTTTTTTGTTGTTTCACTTATTTAATTGATTTTTCATTACTCAAAGAGCATGGCATGAGTGCTCATGAGTGCGCTTTTGCCACAGTTTTGCTAATTTTGTACTAATTGAGTAATTGGCATATCTCCCTGTGTTAGTATTTGACTCAATATCTCATGCTTGCAAGATATTATTAAAGAAATTAGATTTTACAATTAAAAGAGATTTGTCTGGATAATTACCAATTCAGACAGGTTGGCACATACATTTCCCATTTTTCAAGATTTGAAAATAATTTACATCAATCATATTCACAAAGTACTAGTTGTATCATTCATGAAAAGGTTCTAAGTAAATTTCTAGGTGTTCATGGAGCTATTACTATCTTTACTAAGTGAGCACTTATTTATCCTATCGAATTGTGGCCATTTTTATTTTGTGTGAAATTTTACATTTTTTTGCTATAACTGAAAAAGTAGTGGAGCAATTTTGTTTATATTTCATATGTGAATGTACTTAGAATCATATATTCCACTGTCTAGCAACAACTTTATAGGGGGCCATGGCAACCATGGCAGTTCAATGGAATTTGCTACGCTTTGGTGTTGTTGTAATCTACATGTAGATGCTCTTACAATATTGGTCACTTACACAACTACAGTTAACCTAAGTATACTTTAACACCTCTCTAATCCAAACACCTCTCAATGTGAAGTCTCAACTTGGTTATTGACTCACATTTCAAAAAACCCTGAAATTGTGAAAACCTCTGCTAATCATATCACTTTTGGCCTTGCCCGGTGCTGGTGCCTTTGGGATGCAGAGTTGCTGTACAGTGCATAATGTTTTACTGTATCTTTGTTTCAGAGGCTAGCTCAGCCCTTTAGATGCCTGAAAGCAGCAACTATTAACTGTAAAACTGCATAATGTTTTACTGTATCTTTGTTTCAGAGGCTAGCTCAGCCCTTTAGATGCCTGAGAGCAGCAACTATTAACTGTAAAACTGCATAATGTTTTACTGTATCTTTGTTTCAGAGGCTAGCTCAGCCCTTTAGATGCCTGAGAGCAGCAACTATCAACTGTAAAACTGCATAATGTTTTACTGTATCTTTGTTTCAGAGGCTAGCTCAGCCCTTTAGATGCCTGAGAGCAGCAACTATTAACTGTAAAACTGCATAATGTTTTACTGTATCTTTGTTTCAGAGGCTAGCTCAGCCCTTTAGATGCCTGAGAGCAGCAACTATCAACTGTAAAACTGCATAATGTTTTACTGTATCTTTGTTTCAGAGGCTAGCTCAGCCCTTTAGATGCCTGAGAGCAGCAACTATTAATTGTAAAACTGCATACTGTTTTACTGTATCTTTGTTTCAGAGGCTAGCTCAGCCCTTTAGATGCCTGAGAGCAGCAACTATTAACTGTAAAACTGCATAATGTTTTACTGTATCTTTGTTTCAGAGGCTAGCTCAGCCCTTTAGATGCCTGAAAGCAGCAACTATTAACTGTAAAACTGCATAATGTTTTACTGTATCTTTGTTTCAGAGGCTAGCTCAGCCCTTTAGATGCCTGAGAACAGCAACTATTAACTGTAAAACTGCATACTGTTTTACTGTATCTTTGTTTCAGAGGCTAGCTCAGCCCTTTAGATGCCTGAGAGCAGCAACTATTAACTTTAAAACTGCATACTGTTTTACTGTATCTTTGTTTCAGAGGCTAGCTCAGCCCTTTAGATGCCTGAGAGCAGCAACTATTAACTGTAAAACTGCATAATGTTTTACTGTATCTTTGTTTCAGAGGCTAGCTCAGCCCTTTAGATGCCTGAGAGCAGCGACTATTAACTGTAAAGCTAAGAATGTCGGTCACATCTTTGATGCTTGCCTCTCCATCATTCTCAAACTAGGCAAGGTAAAGAAAAATTATATATTTGATTTTAAAAAAATTAGTCTAGTGTACAAGCCTAAAATAGTGCTTAATAGTACCTAAAAAGATCTGGGCTAATAATCGAAGAAGTTTTAGGTTTTATAGGCTGCAGTTCTTCAATTTGGGATCATTTGAATTTAAGCTTGTGAAAGTCACACATGTACATACACATTGAAGAAGACATAAGTGAGATAAAGAATCGTGCAGGTTTTGTTTTTATGTCACCACCAAAAAGTGGTGACATATTGTTATGGTCTCCATTTTTTGTGACGATCGGTGGTTGGTGGTTGGCAGTTGGTGGTTGGCGGTTGGTGATCGGCGTCTGTAACAATTTCTTACAACTTCCAATAACTTGACAAATACTGTTTAAACTGATTTCAAGTTTTTTTCAAAATCATCTACAAGTTTTCAAAAGTTCAAATCTGACTCTAAAATTAAGATTTGACCTTCGATGACATTTTCAAGGTCAAAAAAGGTCAAAATAAGGTCTGTTTCAACTTGTTCCAAATTGACCAATTTTTTTCCACAATCATGTTCTCGAAAAGTTCAAATCTGAATATAGATTCGACCTTCAATGACATTTTCAAGGTCAAAAAGGATTTGACCTTCAATGACCCTCACAAGGTCAAAAAGGTGTTTTTTCAACTTGCTTCAATTTGACCATTTTTTCAAAATCATCTTCAAGTTCTCGACAGAAGTTAAAATCTGACTTTAGATCTGGGATTTCACCTTCAATTACCTAGGCCAGAGTCAAAAAACTTGTTTCAAATTGATCATTTTATTTTAAAAACATCTACAGCGTTCTCAGAAATTCAAATCTGACTTTGAACTATAATGTAATAATACTGTGAGCAACTAGGTGGTGACATTTTGTTATGTTAATGCCTTGTCTAAAGATTCTATTGAGCATTTTGACATTGGATAGAGAAAATTATGATTTAAAAAATTGAGTTATTTTTTGGAACACAACTTTTGTACTTTCAAAAAGTAGCTTACTGAATTTTCTCTTTTTTATTTTTTATTTTCCTAGAATATTTCTTAACCCTCAGTTAATAACCTAAGAATATTTATACACTCTTCATGCAAAACAGAAATATGTAGACAATATGGGATGAGTGCGTCTGAAAATTATGGGACTGCAATTAGGAAAGATATTGAAATTCCCAAACATACAGAACAACCTTAATTAAATGCATTCATTGTTTTTCAGGTGTTCTTCATAATATTTCTGTTCATCTTCATTTTTGCTGCAATCGGGGTTCACATCTACATGGACGAGTATCACTACATCGGATGTGAGGACAGATCTTCCAATAACTTTACATTAGTATGTGAGGAAGATTATGATAATGTCTACACTGGGTAAGCAAACATTTTTATATTATTATAAGCTAGATAAAGCTCAAGAGAGGGGGCAGAACTTTTTATATGTAAAGTAGCTTTTGTGTCATCAAAAAAAATCTTCCCGGTTGTTCCAAATTTTTTATCTCACTTTTTTACTTGGGAGCTTGTACTTCTGGGGTTTTCATTCATTTTAATTATTTTCATCACTTTTGCATTTAGAGCAATATAAAAATATATATAAAAAAATCCTGGTTACATCGTCCTTTTTTCAAACCCTCTTAAAAGATATTTAAGTATAAAGGGGCCTATGTGTACATGGATCAAATTCAAGATTTGGCTCAATGATATCTGATCAATACGATGAAATCTCAGGTTCAGATATTGTCAGCCAAAGGGGCTTTAGGACATCTTTAAACTTTTGATGGTAATTTCAGTCACTTTCATTTACATTACATTATAACTAGAGTTACATTACTTTATTACATTTATATATACTGCACAGACTTTTCAAATTACAACTACTTGTACATATGCAAATGTTTTAAAAGCATGTATTATTGATATATCACACTATTTTTTTGTAATAATAGAGCGATTTCGCAACTCACTTATAGCATGTTTGTTTTTCCCGTATAACGTATTACTTATTAAGCGTTTGATTGCATCATCACTTATTGCATGTCCAAATCAATTCATTAATAAATGATAAATGATTTTGATACATATTGGTCAAAAGTTTAGCAATAAATTATAATTTTAATTTAAGACAGGACAAAAACATTTACACATATATTACGAATGCATGTACTGTACACATACACTACATCCAACATAGCTGTAAGATTACATGGCCATCACATACTGTACATGTACATTGACATATGTAAAACTGGTCATATGGTAAAAGTGCCCATTTGAACATGAGTCTTTTCTTTGTCGCGATACACCAATGTTTAATTTTACATATGACTGACAGTTGTATCGTCATTCTTAAATTGACAGTCCTCACCATTGAACCATTTGATGGACAACCCAGTTACACCAGAATCCTCTGAAGTTACATCTTGCGATTTGATAGTGAATGTTACTGAAGAGGGGTTCTGGGAAATACTAAGAGAGGGCTCATGTGACGTCACATCTTCTGGTGTACATTTTACTAAGTTTCCAACTTCATTACGGAATGTTCGTCCTGTTACCCAGTAAAGAATGAAGTTTATTGAGTGATTCGTATACATGAGGATGAAAAATGTTGTCCTAGCGAGGCGTATTTGAGCCATTGTGTGTGGATCAACATCAGTTATGTCAGAGTATATTGTCTCCATTATAGCAATAGGTGTTGTTGTTACGATAAAAGCTGTACTTATTACCAAGGGAACGACTAAAAAGTATGTTTTGTGCTCTTGATTTGCTTTATCTTGTTTTGTTGTTCGATTCTTCGTACTTGTTGTGTGTCGAAAATCATTGTTTGTGAGCGATCGTCGCAATTTTGAAGTCTGTAGGAGTTTCACACAGAGCAATGTGTTGAAAATAATAAGTAGAGAAATGGGCAAGGCTGAATACAAGAGAAAGTCAATCCATGGCCATATGAATCTCGCCTTTGTCGTGAAGCATCTTTTCTGTATTGATACTGTAGTTTCGGTGACGATGCAATCATAGATTAGCTCATACACCCAAAGTAGATTTAGATCTATTATTGCCAACACTCCCCATACTAACAAACATGCTAGCACTGGATGGCGTTTTGTCACCAACGTTTTCGCCCTCAGTGGGAAAAAAGCAATTATAAATCGTTCAAACGTCATCAATACGACTATCCAAACAGATGAATGTCGCACAAAGTGGTAGAGGAATCCACCAATGATCTTACAAGCGGGATCATTGAGCATTTTCAGATCACCATTTTTGACAATTTTCCCCATCCAATAGCGCAGTGCACTAACCAATAAAACCCCAGTGTCTGATATGGCTAGAAAGAACATGTATGTACTCATTGAGTACTTCCTCATCTGCTTTAGCAAAGACACAACTGCACTCAAACAATTGCCAAATGTTCCCAGGAAAACCCAGAACGGGAGCAAATAGACGTACAAGTCAACTGAAAGTCGGTATTCCAAATGTTCTTTCATCATTGTGTCATAATCAATGAGACCAGTTGTGTTTGCTGTCTCATTGAGTGTCCCATTTTGACGTGTTGAAAGATTACACTTCATTTTGATGTCATTTAATGTTGCCATGGTAACTTTGCTGTTATCTTCTATGGTTGTCAAGGATTATCAACATTTCGTTGTTGTCAGAAATCTTCATTGTCCTAAAAGAAAATTCATAAATCATATGTAATAATGCACAGTTTTTCCTAATTTCACTTGTGCCTTTGAATATACATAAATAGAGCAGTTATCACATACAGTAGAATGGACTTGATTGCAAGGTATGGCTATAATACATTACACTGTACAGAACATATATTTACTCAATCATCCTGCGTTAGTGCCACTTTCAGTTGATGTATAGGGTAAAGTAACTTAAGAAAATGAATTTAGTTTGCATTATTTCTCTATTCAAATAATATAACACTTCTTTATAGTTCCAAGAGAGTGTATGTTAAGGTGATTGTATTTGTATCTTGCATGTTAGATTATTAAAACACAAACATCAGCAAGGCTGTTAGCCTCCTAAAGGCCTTAATTAGAAAATGGCTGATTGACGGTTAATTATACAATTCTAAACCTGTTATAGCTAAACAGTAATCTTGGTTAGTTCTCAAAGAGTTGATCTTGGCCAGATGGCTGGCTGATGGTTCATTTATTTTTTTTGCAAAATAATTGTGATGTTAATTTATAATCAAATATAAAAGTTCCTGAGGATTTAAGATTCAGAAATGTCCAGATTCATTCATTGCATGCATTGAAAAATGAACATACAGTACAGCTTGATTTCAAATTATTAGAAAGTCCCCTGAGTATGCATGAACGTCTGGACTTGATTAGATCATGTAATGATGAATGCTTTGAAGGAGGTCTATTTAATTTTTAGTGATCATTCCCAAATCATCTGAAGCATATTACATTTTCAGTCCTATTTTTATGTCACCCCCAGAAGTGGTGACATATTGTTATTGTGTCCAACTTTTTTGTGGCTGGTGTAAAGTGGCTGGTCTTTGGCATTCAGCATCTGTAACAAATAGCAGGTAGTGAAGTGACATTTTGCTTGTCAATGTCTTGTCAAAGTTTGCTGTTTGGTATGAAATTGTATGAATCTTACATGTATTAGTTCGTTTGTAGACCTTTTTAGATCTTAATTATCCCAATGAACGAAGTTCGGTAGGGATATAGTGAAGCCCTCCGTCCGTCCGTCCGTCCGTCCGTCCGGAAGATAACTCAAATATTATTTGACGGATTTTCTTCATATTTGTTGGAAAGATGTATATTGATGAATAGTTTTACGCAAAAAAAAAATTTTCAAGATGGCCGCCACTTTAAAAATGACAGGACTTTTTCGCAAAAATCATAAATTTTTCATTCTAAACCAAAGTAATTAATATTATTGTTTGAAATTTTGGTAGTATATTTGCAACATCTATCTTTTTCACATATATTCCTTGTTTTTCATCCTGACCCCCAGGGGCAGTGCATGGGGGGTCAGGAAAACAGAAATTTTCGCTAATTTTTAGATCTTTCTGAAGTATAGCTTTATTATACTCAAATGAAAGGCAATTAAGAGTAGATTGCAAATACTGTATCTTTTTTCTGATTCGAGCCTTGTAATATTCAAAATGGCCGTTTAATGTACGATTTCGCAATAATTTTTCGATCCCTTCAAAGTATGGCTATATAATACTCAAATTGAAGGAATTTTGGAGTAGATCACAATTATGGTATTATTTTTCAGATTTGTACTTCAGAAAATTCAAAATGGCTGCTTTGCAGGAATTCACAATTCTAAAATCTAAATTTTTCAATTTTAACCAAAGTAATGAGTATAATTGATTGGAATTCGGTAATTGATATTTTGTTCGTTGGGATTTGCTACTCCGCGGAGTTGCCGTTATCTAGTTATCTAATATCATGTATTTTTTATTAATTGCGATACTATTCACACTTTATATAGATATAATAAACATAAATATTGTTGGAAATTAGGTCAGATAATTTATTCTCTTTTGAGAAAATTGGTCCGTTAATTTATTCTCTTTATTTATTATTTATAAAGCTGACATAAAACTGACAAAGAAACAATGTTTACATGTTCATTTTTATATTGTCTGCCAATGTCCTGGAAATTGGATCAGAACATCACAAGGTAATTGTAATCATGGGATAAACCCAATATCACATAATTTCTCGTGATATCATTTTATCGCCTCGTAGATATCAAATATCAACACTCATTCGCTTCGCTCACTCGTGTTGATATTTGATATCAACTTGGCAATAAAAATGATATCACTCAAAATGATGTGATATTCTGTATATATCAGATAAAATTGCCAAGGTTGGTAGATAACATTAGCAACATATATAGATGTTAGTATAAAATTAATATCTTATTATTTACATGATTAATCATTAAATCATTTATTTATATTTTCTCTATAATTATTTACAGTGTTGTTTTTCTCATTATTTTGATATAAGAGGTTATCAGGTTTATAGCCTGTAAGGAAATACTATGCTATCATACGAACTACTTCAATCATTCCTCAAATGTTGTACCCTGCGTGCAGAGTCTAGTTATAAACTACCATCTGCCTAGTATAGACTATATTACAGTTTAGCAGCCCCGCCCCGAAGATTGGTGCCTGTGACAAAAGTCGTCCATATTTTGACGACGAACTCTGATTGGCTCGATGAGATTAGAGATTTATTGCAAACTGAAAGTGAAGACGAAGCTCTCTTTTAAGAGGTGAAGTCGAACGAATGCAAAGGGTAAAAATGTTGTGGCTGATGTGTAATTTGTGCCTCTGCTTAGGGTGTCCAGAAAAATTAGGACCAAAGAGAAAGTTGATTAACTGGTCAGTCTTGCATAATTTGATTTGAAATTACATAATTATTTAGTTCATTTAATGTGAATTTAATGTGAAAGTTTGAAGACATTATATATGCCAATTGAGTCAAGAACTACAGTACCTTACAAAACATGCACCAAATGGGCATGTCTCTTCTCTATACATAATTGAATATAAAGAGACATATTCAACATTAAAATCATTTCTGAGGTTTCTTGAATGTACCCAACTATTAATACATAAATATGTCCGGGAGTCCAAAATAAAACAATATTATAGTATATAGTGTAAAATCTGACTTTAAGGCTTGATAACATTGCTTGCCTTCCTAAAGCTAAGTTTACACCAATGGCGCTTTGATGGCACATTAATTGATAATTAAAAAAGCGTCGTGCAAAGCTGCTTTGTACACTGCTTTAAAGCGCCATCAAAGCGCCGTTGGTGTGAACTTAGCTTTAGCAAATAACTAAGTAATGTAACTAAGCAATATTGACTTTGATATTTTTCAACATTAAATCAAGGATTTCATGTCAATTAGAGTCTAACTTGTATAAATTGTATGCACTTAATCTATATTGAATACATTGTTAGAAATTGAAGCAATCTTACTACTTGTAAAAGGTTAAAGGCAATGACAGCATTAGTGAAAATAGGATAATATTATATACTGCTTACGATCTTCCTTTGAAATTACACAGAATTATTGTGAAAATAATACAGGGATAAGGCAAAAAACGATCGGCAATTGTTGACAAGTACGAATCAACAAAGTCAAATTATGTTTTTTGCATGATTAAGTATATGGTAACTGGTCAACTCAACCCTTAGTCAAGTCGACCCCAAGTTAACTCAACCCTTAGTCAAGTCGACCCCAAGTCATCTCACCCCGGCCCTTAGTCAACTTGACCCCAAGTCATCTCAACCCTTGTTCATCTCAACCCTTAGTATATACATGGGGTTAAATCCCTAAATAAAATTATTAAAACTTTATATAATATAAGAATATTGTGGTTCTTGTATGAGTGCATGTTCATCCTTCTGTTACAATTGGCTTATTCTTGACTGAACCATTAACACCTCTGAAAAACAATAGGATGTACAATGCAATTAATTGTCCCTGTTCCTTGTGAACAATTGAATTTTCACCCTTAAACAGATAGTATACAGGTGTTCTTTACACAGAGGGTCTGTTAACATGTGGAAAAATATTTGATTCTTATGAAAACTTTACACAGAGGGTCTGTTAACATGTGGAAAAATATTTGATTCTTATGAAAACTTTACACAGAGGGTCTGTTAACATGTGGAAAAATATTTGATTCTTATGAAAACTATTCCTTGTAAACAGGCATTAGTTTACAGAAAGGTGTTCCATCTGACAGGTTTTACTTATATAATGATTTTACATGTAAATGTATAGTGAGAAAAATATGATACCAGTATGTGCACAGATTGCTGGAATATTACTTAATGATCAGCTCTGGCTATATCCAGTAACTATATATGCTATTGGTAGCTAGCCCTTGATTCCAGTGAAAGTGAAACAATAAATTGATAAGGTCAGGATAACCTTTAGAAAATGATTTAAGTCTCACTTGAATTTCATTTATTTATTATTATTTTGAGAATTTACACATTTTTGTTCTTTGAATCTGAAATAGCTTCACAATTTGTTAAGATATATGTAATGGCTCTCTTTGGAGGTATATATAGTATATTTTAGATAGTAATAACAAATACATTGGTAGGTGACGAGTTATACTTGTTTGCAGTTTTGTCACCCTCATACCTGGTGTATCTCTAATTCAGCCAAAAATGAATGTCACTGTGTGAACATACAAAGATGGTCTGACCATGCAGTAATGGTATTCATTATGCCACCACCAGAGAGGTCGACAATTTATTATTATAGTCTCAAACCTTTTTTGGATGGTGTTTGGTTGTTGTTGTTTGGCATTCGGTGGTTGATGTCTGTAACAAATGACAGGTGGTGACATTTTGCATGTTAATGCCTTGAAACCTGATAATCCTTCTTGCAGGATCATGCAAAAAGGATGTTTTATAATAGAACTATAGCCAACATCTTTATCATTTCTACTGCATGAGAAAATTGAATAATGGGAAATGTAAAAAGATCTGCGAAAGGATTTTGATAGAATTAAAGCATTTAATTGTACACATCATTATTGACTATTTGTTGTCAGCTATTAATTGTAATAATTTAGAAATGATCTACATATATAAAGATATTGTAATCCAAGGACATAAATTACTTAACATCTTTGTTTTTATGGTGGATTTTAAA